ACAAGACCAAGTTGCGACAACGAGGTCAACCCATTTCTTACTCATATCATTGCCGGAAAATTCATCTATCAGATCTTCATCAGTTTTTTCGACCTAGGGTGAATAGAGTTATTTGTAAATTCATAAATATGTAGTCTAAGATATTGTGGCCTTTGTTTTTGTCGCAGTCTCATTTAGCTGTATGCAAGTGGTCTGACCTCGTTCTCGCTTGTTGTTAGAACGACCCAATTAAACAAACCCTATCCGAAGTCCTTTCATATAATAGTTAGGATAATTCCTATAGTCGGAACGTGGACTTGGTACGTTTAGTAACATTTCGTCGGTATTATTGTCAGCCACTCTTAGCACCAAGCCAAGGAGCTTGGAATGATCATAACTTCTATAGCAGAGGACTTGGGACAAGGTGCGCCAACTGGGTCTTTCAAAAAACAAGATCATGTTGCGAAAACGAGGTAATACTACTTATTATCATATTATCTAGTTTCTTATTTCTGAATTGCTTCAGAAGAATTTGATAATGATAAGGTGTTCTTTTTTAACATGCAACTCTGATTCAATTTTATCGGCTACGCTAACATTCTGGTCACTTGAAATCGACGAATTTTCCTCCTTATTCATATTTACAGGACAAATGTTGTATCACAACGCTGCCTGTCTATGAGCATTGTTTACCCTGTAGATGGTCTTTTGCTAAATGGGATCCCAAAATGATCCCGGTGCCAAGTGTTCTGGCGAGTCGAAAAGCCGGGGACTTCTCTAAGAAAGAATGTATTGCACAGGCAGTCAGCCAACCAGACTACGAAAATGATATCTAGTCAATTATATCAACACATCCGGCTATCATCGTGAACTCCAAATTTGCTCCCTCTTCAATTCCGTAACTTTTGAGAGGCTTCTTACTGGCTAGACATTTGCCATTAAATGACAGGGCTCCTCGAACTTGCTTAATGCCCAATAATTTCTTGAATTGGTAGAGCACTCCTTCCACACTTTCCTGTCTAGAAACTCGTAATTGTGTGTCTTGTCCGTCCCATATGACTGTGATCTGTATTACATCATCACGGCCAGTCACGAGATAGAAGGTACCGGAACAAGATGAATATTGGGAGGGTGTGAGACTGTCGTCAACGACTGTACTTCCAGCAAATATTTGTATTTTGTCAATTGGTATGCCTCTCTCCGTGTGGATGATCTCTTTTATCCGCTCGAATGTGTCCTTCGGATGAACCTCCAGCTCAATACTCTCATTGTTCCTTGCATGAAGGCAAATTTTCATGTTTCAGCACACCTACGTTGAGTTAAAACCAAGGCTTGAGAAACGCAGTTTATGCATTAAAATGATGAAATAAACGAAACAAGAGAAGTAGCCATGGCAGCTAGGCCTGCTAGACGTCAATTGTGCGAAGAAGAATATGGACTCTTACCTTCAAAGTATGCTTGCTGGGCTGAATTTCTGCTTCTGCCTCTACTATAACCAAGACATGTAGGGCACAACTGTGCAAAGCTAACCCGACAGTGATAGGCTCAAGAGGATTGCTGACCAGACAGATTTTCGATCAAACCAGGAGCAACCACCAATCCTGAACCGATCTGGAATCCGGCTCCACACAAGTTAGGCTTCGATGAATCCTTGGTGCAAGTCTGTGCTTACTGACTGAGAAAGTGAGCCTCAGTTATACCTGCTCATGTGTAAGGGTGTAGAAAGTTTATGCATACGAACAAAGAGGCTCAGGGTGCTGGTTGAAAGGTTAAAAACAAATATTTGCATTTTGGCTTGCTCGCATTAATGCTTGTCTGGTATGTAGTCTTCTAACTTTGAACTATTTTATGAGTGCAAAGAGAAGTTCTGGAAGTAAATCTAAAGTGAAAAGACAGACTGAGCTTTAGAGCGATAAAATAACGTAAATCAGGTATGTGGAGAGAGTATGGGAAGATAAGAATAGCAAAATTTACGTATCGGCTATGCTTTTTGTTGGCATGATAAATTTCATAACCTCTATCAGGTCGCATTCGTCGATAGTTATTCAGAGATGAACCAAATTTCTGCAAATTTGCCTGTATTCTAGTAGGCATGAACAGAAATAATAGCCGTTAAAAGCACTAAAACTCCTTAAAATAACCATTGAATGTAAGGAAGTAGCTACTTTTTAGAAATACGTAGGTTTTTACGCCTTCACGAATTCTAGAATAAAAGCTTAGTCAGCCTAGGTCGCCTAAGGTGATTTGAGGAGGAATAACTGAGCTTTTCCCACATTTAAATGAGTAGGCCCCACGATACCATTGCAGTTCACTCAACCTTGCCTACCAAACGTGAATATAATTCAGATTTGATTAGGGTGTCGACCTCGAACAGATAAGAGCTTATGAGGTAAGGCTAAGTGAAATTAAATAGTATTGTGAAACCTATACACCTCATTGTGGAAACAAACGAACCTAACGGTCCTTGAAACATGTTAAACGACCAAGAATGACTTAATTTTTATTACAGAATTTCAAGTTACTTGAAGACATACTCGTATATACATTTAATAACTAAGTATGTATCAGTAAATGTGAAGAAAAGTTGTTCTTCGAGAAATCCTATAGTTTGTATCTGTTAAGCTCTCTCCCATTCCGAATGAAAGCGTGAGATGAAGAGATTCGAAGGCCAAGCCCAACAGAAGACGATGGCGGATTGCGCCTGGCCAGCTTTCGATTGGCTTCACTGGAACATTCTTGTTGACGACCTTTCAGAGGCAACCCCATTCGATTCAGGTGAAAATGATGAGCGCCTTCAAGGCAGAGTGTATCATTTTTACATAAAAAGCCACCGGCTTATCCATACATGCTGTAATTACACATACCCTATATATGAATATATATATATAGTAGATACGAAGAGAAACTTGGTTTCGATGAATCTCCTGAGATAACATTGTTAGGGGGACCTTCATTTCGGATGAAAGAGCATGAAGAAGAGATTCGTTGGTCGATCTCACCAGATGAGGACGAATGAATGTCGTTATACGAAACCCGCTTTTTCTTCGTATATACAATTACAAATCCCTTCCATTTACCCATTCAAACGAAACGAAAGATACTCTAACATCACTCTATTATGGGTTTATTCGAAAACCACATTTTCC